GTTCTTCTCTTTTCTTTTCTTTTATTCTCTTTCTTTCTTTTTACATTTAATCAGTTCATTTTATTTTTAATATATTCTCAGTTATTCATGGCTTATAATGTCCTTCTGAGATTGAGCCCCTCAGAAGACCACAGGTGGTCACTAATTATGGCAAACTTGCCCTCAGACTTAATCTCCACAATGAGAATGTAGATATTTTTTTCTTTCTTTCAAACTCTGTCATACCTATTCCTGTTCCTGCTTGTTCTTCCTGTCACCTGTGCTGTGTGGGTCCCACTTATTCTGTTTCTAGATTATTACAGTGGTGGCTCTTTTTCCTTCCTGAAACCATTGCTTTCATGACATACTCCTCCCTTCAGAGTTTTTTGGTGGTGCACTACATTTCTCATCACAGTAAGTCCTGCTGGCCTTCCAAGCCGTCCCAGGCCTCTTATTTCCTGTATAATCTTTTCTCCACTGGTGAACCTCAACTATGCTTGGCTCATGCCTCTTTTAGTCAGTCATTCCTTCCCCCTCAACTGATTCAAATCCTATTTCAAGGCCCAGCTCAAGCCTGTTGATCTTTTCTTCTCCAAACTCGGTGCTAGTTATTTCCTGTATCATATATACCACAGGCTTCCTTTATTACTCCTGATCTAAATTTGTCAATTCAGGGAAGCCATTTTTGCCGATAGCACACAGCATTATGCTTAACATAATGTGTGGCACCAGTAAAAATGTGGGATTTTATCCTTTAGCTATATACCCATCATCTGTGGCTTAAATTTCCACATACTTACCAAATCTAAAATTATCTTGAAACAAGCATTATAATTTATTAACACTTCCCAATGAATTTAAAGGTTTATACTACATAGTTTGAACAGTTATTGGAATAATCACATTCTTATGTGTGAATGGGGTATCATCCTCACTGCTCTTAGTGGTGTCCATGCAGACCAGGGGCAGATTTCAACTAGTGTAGTGGGTGGTGTTTTCCATGTTAATAAAAGCAGTCATCCCTAAAAGTAGTTAACTTTAACCTCACAAGCCTGACTCCTAAGGGATGTGTGTAGAGTCATTTGACAATACAAGCCCAAGGAGAGATTGTTGTATCTTCTCGCTCCTGTTGGCAGCACCTGCCAAACCAGGTGCCCTGCACCCTCAGATTTAGAGGTGCGCCATATGCACTCTCAGGTGTCCAGACTTTCCACTTTGGGGACTTCATTCAGACGATGCATGTTAAGTCCAGACTCAGCCACCTACTCCCTGTCATTCCCAAGCGCCACACACTCACCCTCAGGATGCTGGGGTCATCCTGACCTGCCCTCTCCATAGGGAGTGACACAGTCTGACAGAGACGAGGATGTGAGCCCAGTCTGTGCACACTACAGCACTGTGCCATGTTGTGCCTGTCCTACAGAACACGTACTCATGCTGACTGCCTTTCAGGGTGTTTCAGGTTGGAGGTCAGTAGTCTTTGGTCGTGGCAGAAGTGCTCAGGGCTGATCCCACCCTAGGAGCTCCAAAGGAACAGACACATCTACTAAACTTCCTTGCCCTGGCATATTCAGAGGTTGGCTGTGTCCAGGCAGCTGTAATCTGCATACCTGAGAAGCGTTTCTTCAGACCAGAGCTCTCCAGCGAAGTTCTCTGAAAGTGTGGGAGGAGCTGAGCAGAGGATAAGGGCCAGGGACTTTGGCTGAATGTTCCTTATGATTCTTAAAACTTGATGTGTCATTTATATAGTACCTTGTCTACTGGTTTCAAGAAATAAGGGTGGTTAGGGAGGCAGGCAGGAACAGTGGCAGCTAACCCTTTCTGATGGTAGCAAAGCTGTTTTGTCTGAAGAGTCTGTGTACTTCCTCTTTAGGGACACTTCCACCCCCGGGCACCATGAACTCCTAATGAGCCATGCTTGAAAACCACTGATGTGTTCATCAATGCATTTATATTCACACAGCATGCTATTTTATAATTGAATCAAGTGATCTCAGAAAAGTAAAATGACTACATAATTATTGGAGACCAAGATGGGCACCCAGGTGTCCTGATTCCTGGTGTAATTATTTCCTTATGATTCTAGGCTATATGTTTCTTTAACCACATCTTATCTTTAGTGCTTTTTGAAATATTTTAATCTACAATAAGCCAAATCTCAAAAGTGAAAAGTTAGTTAGTACTCCTCGTACTTATGTGCAAAGATGACACACCATTAATATCTTCAGACCATAGCTGGACCAGGATTTCCTTAGTGTACATATGTATTAGTAATTACAGCATATTTCTGAAGCCAAACAGAGCACCTCTTTATTTTAAACATTATATATCATGAAGAATGTTTGCTATATGGACATTTATCACTTTTTTAAAAATGGAATTAAAGCTTCTATCCATAGTATGATGAAGTTTCAAAGCAAACAAGTTCAATGCTGGACATATTTTATATTTTAAATTATAAAATCAGAAATAAAAGCATCTTACAACTTAAAAACAAAGCTTTCATCAGTCATTTTGATTTTTAGCCTTTCTAGAGATTCTGCTCCCAACAGGGCGTCCCTGAGTGCACAATAGGGTCTCAGTGTGTTCCTGGGCCTGGTGTTACTCCAAGGCTTCCAGGGATTGCTGTGTCTTACTGCAACTTGTGCTGTTTGCACACTCTAGAAACCCACGATCTGGGAGTACCCTCAGGCCCAGGCAGAGGGGCCTCAGGAACTCAGCATGCTTCATTGCATCACCACCCTGTTCTGCTGACTTCATCACACTTGACCTGTTGATTTGATTGTCTATTTGATTTCCTGCTTATTGCCCCTAACGCAGTATGCATTGCCAGAGAGCAGAGACCTCATCTGATCTATTCATCCCTGTCTCTGTAGAACAGCACCTGGGACACATCTGATTAAAGTCAGAATGAGAAATGAATGCTGGAGTGTTTCAGTATTCATCTGTGTTGTCCAGGATGCTAATTCTTTTGACTCACCTTATTCAGTTTGAGTCCCCTCTGACAACAGTTTTGTTTACTGTTTAGGTTGCCTTAAACCACTTATGTCAATGCGTTTATAGTCACACAGCAAGAAGCATTGCACAAGGGTTCTTGTTGATTAAATGAATAACCGTATCTTCTTGTTTTCATCTGTCTCTTACATTCAACTTGGCCAGTTTAAATTAGCAATGCTTCTACATTCCAAAACTAGTTATAAATCTCAACTTTTGTTCCATAGGATTTTATTTCTCTTCTTAGCAACTTGGCTTAAGCCTTTGACCCTTGATTCTAACAGTTTGTATCATATTATTATTCTTTTTCATTTTGTAATCTCAAAAACCTAGATATTAAGAAAAGGGGCTTAGGGCTTCCCTGGTGGCGCAGTGGTTGAGAGTCCGCCTGCCGATGCAGGGGACGCGGGTTCGTGCCCCGGTCCGGGAAGATCCCACGTGCCGCGGAGCGGTTGGGCCCGTGAGCTATGGCCGCTGGGCCTGCGCTTCCGGAGCCTGTGCTCCGCAACGGGAGAGGCCACAACAGTGAGAGGCCCGCGCACCGCAAAAAAAAAAAAAAAAAAGAAAAGGGGCTTAGAAATAACATTAGCTTAAATGCGATAAATCAAACTTACACATCTTGAAAGCTGTCCAGATAATAATCAACTTTGGTTGAATATGCTGGTTGCTGTCAATTTTATATGAAATGTTGGCAATTATAAGTATACTCACCGTGCATACCATACTTCCTAGATGCTTTTTATTCTCTGGTTCTCATAATGACCCTGTGAAGTGGGGCTGGAAGGTTCTGAGGATGGTGAGAGAACTATTAAAAGACTGAATAACTGAAGTTTGAAAAATCAGAGTAACCTGCTCAAGGGGGCCAAGACTAGAACTTAAGTTCCTAATCTGGTGTTTTTTCAAGGTACTAAACTGAGAGTAACAAGAAAAGACAACGTGGTTTCTGTATGTGTCTTTTACAAATTACTTTAGAAATAAAGATAAAAGATCATTATATAATGAAAATTTTAATATATTATATGGTTTTGTTAGGGTCTAGTACATAGTGAATACTAATAGCTTTATGTTAAATTGAACTGAGTAAAAAGATACATTTGAGCAAATTAGGGCAAAGAAAAGAGGTACTAACAATGACCAGAGGAGCAAAAATTTTTTTAAATTTATGCATTAGGTTTACATTTACAAGGTTTAGTCAAGGAAAATTAACATATATTTTAAGCAAACTCTACTGCTTCCCATAAAATCTTTTGATCTTGAGCAAAGAATAATGAGGGTGATCTTAAAATACTGCTAAACTTTTTAGACTTACAGAGAAATTTTAGACTTACAGAAAAATTACAAATATCATATAGAATTCACATATACACTTCTCCCAGCTTCCCCTAATGTTAATAACCACATACTTAGCCATAGTACAATTCTCAAAACCAGGAAATTAACTTTATAGTAGTGTTTCAATTCCACACGTGTAATTAATAGAAGGAACTAAAGCTAAGACAATAATTAAGTTTATTTATACCAGTAATTGTATCATAGGGTCTTATAGAAAATTAATAAATTATTGCTTTAGCAGTAGAATAATAAACAGAACACTAGTTCATAAATTCTACCTATTATTTTTTCCTGTTATCAACTTCTTGGTCTTGAACCATAATATACATAATTTTTAAAAGGACTTAGGGAGTTCTTAGCTAATAGCAATACTAAGATCTGTTGTAAAGGACATGATTATTTTGTTCCAGATTCTTCCAGTCTAGTTCAGTAGCACACAACATCCTATTCTCATGAGAAAACTGTGCAATGAGATGGCCTCTTTCTAGAGTGTAAAACTGAAACCTTCACTAAAACTGCTAGAAGACTAAACCTTGTAGATATGTCTTTGGCTGTTCTTATGTGCATTGGCGAATCAGGTTGGCTAGCATAATGATACTAAGTATAACATGACATTATATCTCTCTTATTGATGAAAGATGCTACTGAAACAGATATGTGACTATACTTTACAAATGACAAAGAAAAACGTGGAATTACTTGATATTTTGTGGTTTAAGAACAACACTTGAATATGATCTTATGCATGAAAATGCGTAGGATGATATTTCTCTTGTTTTTATATAGTTGTTTTCAAGATGAAGATGTTCCAGGGTTGAATCACCATCTTCTTCAGAATTGCAAATTTGTTCTGGAAGAATATTCCTAAGGAAAAATAGACATACAAGTCATAAATGATCCAAGTAATATTCTGCCTTCATAATTTAGGAGTTAAATTTTACATTTGTTTTAAAAACTCTTTTGTTTTTAAAATAAAATTGGATCCTTTTCTTATACACCAGAAAAAATTTCAAATATGTCAAAGATCTACATGTGAAAAAATGAAGCCATAGAATAGTAGAATAAAACATGGTCATACCCTGGGAGTGGGGGAAAAATCTTCCTATGTGTGACTCAAAAACCAGATGCACTAAAAGAAAAGATTAATAAATTGACTACAGGTTTGTTTGCTTTTTTAATGCAAAGTTAAAAGACAAATCACAAACTAGGAGAAAGTATTTGCAACTTATATTACTGATAAAGGGCTAATATACAAAGACCTAAAAACCTAGGAGGAGAGGGAAATGAGAAAAAAAAAAAAAGATACCTGGGTAACCAGTTTACAGAAGAGAAAAAGAAATGGCATGTAAACAAGATGCTTAATTTCATTCATGATAAGAAAGATGTAAATTGAAATGATACTGGCATACCACTCTCACTTACCAGATTTGCCCAACGCCCTCCCAGAAAAGTCCAAAAGTTCATTAACATGTTCTGATGATGAGGCTCTATAGGATCAAACATCATTGAAGGAAATTCAAAACAGTACAGCCCCATGGATAGGAATTTGGCAGTATCTAGCAAAATTGCATGTGTATTTTATACCTTTCACTCAGCAATCCCACTTCTAGGGATCTTTCCCAAAGTTAGATTGGAAAAATACAAAATTACATTTGAACAGAGTTGTACGTTGTGGCATTATTTATAGTATAAAAAAATGGAAACAATCAAATGTCTATCAATAAGGAACTGGTTGAATAAAATGTCCATATAGTGGAATACTATTCAACTGTAAAAAGGAATGAGGAAATTCTCTACATACTGATACGGAGTGATATCCAGGATATACTGATAATTTTTAAAAGTGAAGAACAGAAAAATATACACTCTAAAATGTCCATATAGTGGAATACTATTCAACTGTAAAAAGGAATGAGGAAATTCTCTACATACTGATACGGAGTGATATCCAGGATATACTGATAATTTTTAAAAGTGAAGAACAGAAAAATATACGCTCTTTCCAGAGAGAGAGAAAAAAATAATAATCCTTTGGTGTAATAATTTGTATAATAATTGTGAGAGGCAGTAGGGAATATGAATGTGTGTATGTATGCTTATATTTTAAAAAAATAACACTGGGATCATCAATGGGAAATTAATTTAAAAGTTTAGGGGCTTCCCTGGTGGCGCAGTGGTTAAGAATCCGCCTGCTAATGCAGGGGACAATGGGTTCGAGCCCTGGTCCGGGAAGATCCCACATGCCGCAGAGCGACTAAGCCCGTGCGCCACAGCTGCTGAGCCTGTGCTTTAGAGCCTGCATGCCACAACTACTGTAGCCCACGCGCCTAGAGCCCGTGCTCTGCAACAAGAAAATCCACTGCAATGAGAAGCCTGCGCACTGCAACAAAGAGTAGCCCCTGCTCACCGCAGCTAGAGAAAGCCCGTGCACAGCAATGAAGACCCAGTGAAGCCAAAAATAAATTTTAAAAATCTTAACCTATGGGAAAGGGTGGAGTATGGTATAAGGGACAGGCATAGAAAAATATTATATAGAAAGTAGCAATTCCTAAAAACTAAAGCAAATTAAAGACCTATCTGAATATTAAGTTGTTGACCTATTGTTACAGAGAAAACTTCTGTATTTAAGCTATACATCCTTCATGGAACATATTCTTAGGACAAGTAGAACTACTAAAAACATAATAAACTTAATTAAATACTTTTGTTGTTAGTTGTAATAATGGTATTATCATTTTGAAACTATCGTTTATAGTAAATATAAGTTATTGTTGGGAACCTAGATTTTCAGTGTAAGATAAGCAAGTTTAAAACAGAAGGACTTCTCTGTAACATTAAATTTGACTTGGGAATATCAGTATGAACTCATTTTTTTTCTTCACAAAATACATATTTCTGGCAGTCCACTGAAAGGCCTTGAAACAGTAACAAATTTGAAAGGAAGATGCCTGGTACCCAGATTGGGGCCTCTGAACACGATTCCCCAGTGAGAGGAGCTAGGGCTCTTTGGAAGAAGGCTGGCATCGGGCGTAGTGGGGAATATAAAAGTGAGCCATTCAAGATCTACAGAGGCCTATCCAAGGACACAGGAACCAACTCGAAGGACTACCATTGGCCAAAGATGGGACAGTTTAAGAACAATAATTGCAGTTGATTGAAACATTCTTAATATATAAAGCCATAAGTTCATATTGATTCTCCAGAGAAAGAGAGAAAGCCAGAAACAAATTAATAAAGCAAAAATATTTAGGCACCAACCTATTTTTTATCCTGAGACAGCCACTATTAAAATTTTAATATATTTTATAGTCCTTTTCCTTCATGTTTAATGCATATGTATAATTTTTTCCAGTTTTATAAAGATTGGCATAACATTTTATTAGTTTAAAGTGTACAACGTAATGATTTGATGTATGTGTATGTGGTTGAAATGATCATCACCATAAGTTTAGGTAACATCCATCACCTCACACAGTTACAGATCTGTAACCAACTTCATACTCTGCTAGGCAGTTTAAAGGAAAGAACTGAGCCTACCTTTCAGAGTAACAAAGTTGCCCTAATTGAAAAGGGAATATTATTTACAGAGGAAGTCCAGCTATAAAATGTGGAAAGAATGACAAAAATAGAAATTCACCATTTTATTACCCCTAAGGAAATAACAGATGCAAGCAATAAGCATCTGTGAGTGAAAAAACTATTGGTTCAGTGGTGGAGGAGAAAGGTTATAATGGAGATATCAGGCCGTGACCACCTAAATCCCACCAGAATGGAACAGATACTGTATGCCTCCTGATGCAATGCAATAGGAAGCATATAAGCATGACCTAGGAATTATTTTGGCCAAAAAATTTTGACTCTGAATCTTTAAAGCCTTTCCCATCCCCACCTCTTCCCCTATAAACTCTTGACTCTTTCTTTGTTTTATTTTTCAGGAGTTTGTGTTTGGAAATGTAGAGACAGGTAAAAGAGTAAGGGGTATAATCTCCAAGGACAGGACCACAGAGCTCCGGGATCTGCCTCCCTCATTGGCTGCACTAACAAAGCATTCCAGATTAATTCTTGAGACATTCATACTTTCTAGGCAGGGGTGATGACTCTGTCAGCAGACGGAACACACACAGAAAAATGTATCCTCAGAAGTGAGGGAGCTGAATCTCAATAAATTTATTCAGAAAAATCTTGATAGAAGGAGTTTTAATTTTAGCATATACTTAGGTTTTGTGTTCTACAGATTACAGTGTTTGAAATTACATTTGGAGGTGAGATTAGCACCATAGTCTACTGCCTTGAAGCCTCACTTGAACATGCCTCTAAGGTTCTAGGTATTATATAATCATACTCTATTTTTACATTTTTTTACTATGGAAGTTTGCATACATAGAAAAGTAGAAAAAACACTATCATGAATCCTTACATACCTATTATCATCCAGCTCCAACACTCATTAACATTTGCCAATCTTGTTTAATGCAACCTCTTGTCACTTGTTTTCTTTAAAGTAAATTCCAGACATCATGTCATTGTTGTTTAATCCTATATTTTGTCACCCATGACAATTTAAATGGATACTTGAAAAGGCCAGAATTTACCGTATCTTGTTGTTGTTCAATCTCAGAAAATGTAGTGCTTTCATTTCTTGTACCCCAGGTGGTATAGATTTTAATTCATTATGATCCAGAAACAGCTCTCGCAGAGAATGATAAGCCCCATAGAAGGAAACTTGGTCTATGCCATCATCCACAAGTTTATTAAATGACAGGTACAGGTATTCCAGGCCTGGTTCCATGTGACCAAACACAAAGCCAGGGATGCGCTCTATCTGGTTGCCAATGAGCACAAGGTGCAGCAGCGACTTGGGTAGATAGGAGGGGACGTGGTAGAGCTTGTTGTAGGAGAGGTCAATTGATTCTAGATTTCTAGAAAAGAGTAAACAGAGTGGGGACTTCAGGGCAGTGACTGTAAGCTCTAAGTTTTGACAAGCCAGTCAAGATGCTTGTCCATTTTCCTGCCAGTACTCAGTGTGCTGTAATGATTCCCAGTGCAAGTGTGGCTGTATGGTGGTTTGGCTGCAAGGCTAGTGCTCTTACCCGGGTACCTCGCAACTGCTTGAGTTCCTCTCTAATAGAGGAGCACCAGAGTTCAGAGAGAAAAACTCATATCCCAGGGGTAATGCTGAGACCCAAAGAGGTCCCCCAAATATCTCTAAGGTCAAACTTGTATCAGAAATGAAGTCCAGAGTCCTGGCTGACATCAAACCCTAAAATCATCTCTGGTTCCAGCAAGAAAGTAGCAGTGTTGAGGGGTTTTTGCATTCTTGTTCCACATTTGATCTGATGACCTGGGATCTGGGACTTGGGGTAAGAATGAGGCATCTAGAAAAGGTTGTTAATAAGCCAGAAGATCTGGGAAATGTGGTAAACTATCTGGCTTTTTTCAGAGCCTTACCTGCGGCTTCTGCCCACCCCATGAAGACTTTTCACCTGATGAAGACTCAGTTGCCCTGAC